CGAATTATAGTTGAAGGAGTTTGCTTTTTTCGAGCACTGCATATATATTAAACGATACTTAAGTTATGGCCCGAGAATTGCTTTAAGAACTAGTACTGCACGTATTGGAGCATTAGGATAAGTTTTTTTTACCATTTTTCTCAACAGAGATGGAAATAATTTTAATATTTCTGCTGTCTATTATGCTTAACTATTCATAGTTATGGTGGTTCGTGTGATTTAATGGCTGCAGGACAGATTTTAAATTATTACTAAAATTCAATGCATAGAGGACAAAAGGATATTGCGGACTTCTCTTGAAAATAGTTAAAATTTAAATCCAAGACTTCCACACGGGCAACTGCTAGTTAGATGTAATTGGTAATTAGTTATATTTACTGTTGTGATCATCATTGGATGTTTTTTACTTATAGAAATGTATACAATTTGCTGTAAAAATTCTTACTATCTCTGTCGATCAGTTTTAGATTTTGTCATCATTTCCTAGACTCATGTAAGGTCATCAGGGTTTCCAACAAATTACTGATAATTTTAAAAACCATTGAAAGAAAACTGGGAGGAGATGGAAAATGCGCGGTTTTCAGAACTCTGCCTAGGGATGACTAAGTTTATTCTCATAAAGTTTCAAAATTAGATTAAAAAAAACTGTCAGCAGATGGCACTGCGGACGAAAAACTATGGAATAGTTTTTCTGCAGACTAGTCCAGTGGTCGGCAAACTTATTAGCCAAAAAGTCAAATATGAACATTACAACAATTTTTAAAAAAATTGGGAGCCAAATCTGCTTCTTTAGTAAACTTTTATTACACTAAATAAAACTAAATTTCATACTTAATAAATTTTTATTAATGCGAACAATGCCCACTACTTTAGAAAAAGTATGCGCGCTCATGCTTGTGGTACCTTCGTATCACACCGGAGTACGCCGTAAACATACGAATAATTTCAGCCGGTAGCTTATACATGATGGTTTGTGTTAACGTTTACGAAAACTAATAAAATTAAACTCGATGTTTGTTACGTATTTTTACAACAATATAAAATTTTAAATACCTATCCATCTTTTAACTTAAACAAAAAATTATACATGTTCTCGATTTATAGAAGAATTTTAATTTATCAAAATAAGATATAATTTTTTTCTTACCAAGTTTTTTTTTTAAATGAAAATATTATTGCGCCTTCCGTGGATATTTGTGATAGAGCCGCACTTAAAGAGCTAAAGAGCCACATGCGGCTCTGGAGCCGCACTTTGCCGACCACTGGACTAGTCCATCAAAACTACACGTGTGCAAAAGCGGCACTTTTTGTCTTCGTACTGCACAACGCTGTTTCTGCAAATAGTAACATTGGTGATATTTGCTATTTTATAGCTCTGTTTGATCATAGAAAGCTTATTGCATGCACATTAGTATTTAATAAAATTTTATTCGCTATGTCAGAAAAATTCAATGAACAATTCGTGGACTACATCACCAAACTAAGATTTCAAACATCTGATACCGCTTGTTTATTTTAATTATAGTAATTCTTTTAAAATGAGTTTCTATAAAAGCAAATAATTTAATATCAACGATGTTTAAAATGAAAAAAAAAGATAGATATGTATTTAAAGGCAAAATTAATGAAAAAGTGGTACTGATTCCCTAAGGAGAAACATAAAAAATTACCATACTACTATGGAAGCCAATGATGTTTAATTAATCGTAAATTAAAAATTTTAAAAAAATGGCCTATCGACTAAAAAGCAAAGTTAATGGGAAAAGACACTTATTCATTTTGGGTATATTATAATACGCCATATTATTGATATTACTACTTAACTATTTTAAGTAATGTGCATTCATTGAAATAAAAATTCAGCTATGTGCTAAAAAGCAAAGTTTATAGAGAAAAGGTTAATTATAAAATCGTTCAGAGGAATCATATGCAGATGACGCTGAATTAATTTCGGGAATATGATCTTCTGATATTATGGTAATTGGTGCAGTTTTAATAAAGATTCCACAACGGGTTTTCTGTAGTTTCAGAACAAATATTTTCAGTGGTAGAAAAGATAGTGTATTAATATTTAAACAAATTAGAACCATACTAACGAATTAAAAGAACTTTTTCCACTTAAAAATATTTTAAACGGTAAATTAAAAGTCGATAGAGAAATGGGCTTACTACAAAGTCCTTATTAAGGTCTCATAAGAAGTGTATTTGTTTTTAAAAGGTCAGCTGTAGTTTGCTGCAGCTAATAAATGAATTTCTTTCAAAACTCAAATGTTGAAGTATTATACAATAAGTAATAAGTATACTAATGTAAGCAAAAAGTATTATATTGATATATTTTGTAATTTTTAAAACTGCACAAATACTGAGTGCTTTTAAAACTGATGCCGTAGAAAAATATACTTGGTAGTGGTAAATTTTGACTATCATGAGTTGACTGCAAGCAATATTACCACGCCTAGTGATTCTAAATACAGTTAATCTCTATAAGCTCCAAAAAACGCGTTTTTTAAAACATAATAACGTAAAGCTACCGGGAAGGGTAACAAATTATTAATCTTTATTAATTGAAGAACTTAGTGGAAAAACCACATAAGTGACTCTTTCAGAGGCTATAATCAGGATAAAATATAAGGTTGTCTCTGAACTAATTTATTACCAGTTAGAAGGTGGGGCTAATAATATTTTGCCTTATTTTTTTTATTACTGCCTAATTTTAAAGCAAAAATCATGTTAGCATACTTAAAACTTATGTCGACAAATTATTTTAAGATTAAAGTGAAAGCAAAACCACTTTTGTTACATAAAATATACCCATATTGAAGTAACATTTTTGTTATTTCCACTGGCTTATAAGTATCCCTAAAAATGTCACTTACCTGGTTCTTCCACTGAGCACTTCGATTGTGTCGGAATGTGCCTTTCAGTTTCGTGCATGATTTGGTAGTGCTATTCAGTACTGATTAAATGATTTTTTTTACTCACTCCTTACAGAGAATGGGTATTAAGATAGTATATTATAATGAAAATCAGGATTTAATGGAAAAAAATGGATGTTTGCCCGAAAATTTGAAATGCTTCAATGTTACTGTAACTGTGCTAGCAATATTGCTATAAATCATTACGATCTCAAGGAAAAATCATCCGTAACAAAAGTATAAGGGCAATCTTCGGATATAGCAAATTTTTTCAGTATACCAGGAGACAATACAAATTTGTGAAAGCTGACGTCAAACTTATGACGATGATCATAGCTCAGGTTATTGCGTTTATCGTGTCAAAGCGAAACTTGGAGATATGGATTAGTGTTACATCTATCGAGAAAAGAGAGATTTGTGTGTTCATTATGCGTGTTTAGAAATGTGAAAGTTTGCGAAAAAGTGTTCAATTTAAAATTCGATTTCTCAGGAACTATTCGACCGATTTCGTAGTTTTTAATTTAAAATGAAATTCTTTAAAATGATGTAATAGTTTGTATATGCTTTACAGTTCCAAAATTTTTTCGACTTTTATTAAATGAAATTATTTAAAATTATTTTTTGCTTTGAATTATATGTGGATACAACGAATTTAATAATTGCTGAGCCTAATGTTTCAATTAGCTTAAAACGTTCTTGTGGAGTGCGTTCTTGTGGATAAAAGTAAAATTAACAATAAAGTAAAATTAACATAAAGTTAATTAACATTAACAACATAAAATTAACATAATTTTCAGACCTCTCTCCTGACCAAATCATTAGGATCACTTTTTTTAGATTGAAGAAATCGCCAATATTTTGATGGTAAATTCAAAAATTATTAAGATTTTTTTTCCGTACTGTGCATCAAACGAAGGTGAGTTTGGAAGCCTTACTTAGTTTCAGTTGCAAACTCATCTCTACAATTTACTAATATAAAACAAGCACAAAACTTGTTACGTGCAAATAAATGCTTCTAAAATCTAAAAATCAAATTTATCTAAAATCTAAAAATAATCTAAGAATTGTACTAAAAATAAAGTGAAACTCGCTTGGGCAGAAAAAGAGAGAAATATTCTGTTTGTTGTTATTGTATTTGTTATAGTCATTTTTCGTATTCAAAACAGAAATAAAGGAAATCTAACAAATAAAATAATCTATATCAATTATTAGAGTTTAATTGTTAGAGTTTAATAAAAGACACATTGAAAAGATGTGTCTAAGACAGACAAAGATCTCCTTTCCCTTTAAATTTCGTTAGTTTTGAAGAAATCAAATTTTCTGTAAGAAAGTTGAAGAATTATTCTGTTTTTTAATAGATTTTCTTTACAGCATACCTTCATATAACGGTATCTGAAACTTCATTTTGATTATCAAGGACCATATAATGCTAGTGGTTCACATGCACGTGGAGTTTTTTTTTATGATCACCCTGCTCATTAACACTTCATTTTATTCTTATTACTATTATTACTACTTGTGTTTAGCATACAGATGTGCAGGATACAGGAATGATAAGTATAAGGGATTGATCACTATTAATGAGTGTAGCACATTTCAGTTTAATAAACAATATTTTTTTAAAATATCATACATTGAAAAGTTCTTGCAGAGATAATTATTGACCGTCTACTTTCCAAATTCCAAAATCTAACAGTTTTTCTTTTTGTCCATAAATAAATTAGTAAATAGTCTTAATTATTTTTTTTTATATAATGATCATTCAAAGTTATCCTTTACAAGCACGAATCAACTGAATTAATCCTTATAACACAGTCAGTCAATATTCAGCCTTAACTAAGAATGGTCCAAGCATTAGCTTTTCAATAAATATTGTCTACTTATACGTTGGATCAGTATATTATTATAATCTAATTAATTTAAAATTTTGCAAAGTAATAATTAGTTTCATTTCTAATGTTCTTTGCTAAATATTATTTCAAAAATGCTCTTCACATAAAACTTATGAAAATACATTGTTAAAATGTAAATTTAGAAAAAATTATTTTGAACACAACATGCAAAAATATACCAAATACAAAAATATACCAAATACAAAAAGTGTCCATTTATTAAAAATAGATTTTTATAAATACATTTAATACACAAAGCAAAATTCGATCAAATTGGACGATACAACGAGTAGAAAAAACTTTATTTATCTGTCAAATTCAAATTTCAACACCCAAGCCCATTGGCTAACATTAGTGTTTGGCGTTAAAGCAGGGAAAGAAATCATAACACCCTTAGCAGATTGACTGAAATCAAGATCATTTGGATAGCCTAGCATCGTAATCTTTGTTCCTGGGGTAACAGCCAGAACATTAGAGAGAGTAATTGTATCAGTCTTCGGCCAGTTGAGAACAACTGCATACACAATATCACCTTTAGAAGTGTACCTGAAATAAATAAATTTATGACGTGAAATAAATTAGTTATGATAAAAAAATAAGTTTTTTTAAAGATTTGGTTTTAAGTCACGATGTTTAATAAAACGAAAAAATGTTCTTGTCTCTTAATATATGTATATATATTATAAAATAAAAAATTTTGTATATACTATATCCTTTACAAGGTATATATATATATATATATAT